GGCGCGTCAGGGACAAAGCCAAGGAAGACACAGGGAACAGCGCGGGCGGAGAGCTTGTCCGCGGTGGTATCGCGGACAAAGGCACGAGCACCCCAGACCCGGAAACGCGACGCATCGCCAACCTTCCCTGTCCACAGCAGTGTGGGCGAGGTCTCCGGCAAGGAGACACGGGGCCAGAGGTTGAGCTGATGCGCGGTGTACCGGACCGCAAACGGCCACAGAAAATGGGGGGCAGCCGCATGGATCATGGAGGTACGAGCGACCTCCATGACTAAGCCAATGCGGCGCTCAGCAACCCCATTCTGCTGCGGGGAGGCCGGAAGCGTGAACGACTGGGTGATGCCGTGCTCCTCACAGAAGGCTGCCAAGAGGTCGGAGGAAAACTCACCACCTCTGTCAGAGTGCAGACGCAGGACGGGAAACTCCGTCCCGAACCGCTCGCGGAGCTGGAGACGAGCAGCGCGGATCCAGGGGATCAAAACATCAGGGACCTCACCCTTGGTGCGCAAGGGGAAGACCGTGGTGTAACGTGTGTATTCGTCGACGACCAGCAAGAAGTACCGCTCGTGGCCCTGTCCACGGATGCGGGCTGGGCCCCACACGTCCAGGTGGAGAGTCTGCAGGGGAGCCTCTGTGGGAGGGAACGAGGAGGAGTGAGGAGCGGCGCGCTGCCGCCCCTCGACACAGGGAAGACAGGGAGGAGCAGGCGAGGGTGGGAGGGGAGGGAGAACCCTGGGAAGACCAGAGACAAGGACACGGCGGTGCATGCTGCGAAGGCGCTGCACCGAGGGGTGACCAAGGCGGTGGTGCCAAAGGAGGGTCTGGTGCGACAAGGCGCGACACGAGCAGGGGGCCGACAACTGACCTGACGCAGACGCAGACGCAGCTACCTGAGGTGACCCAGTCGTCAGTGTGTACAGGCCCGACCCCGGCTGCCGAGTGAAGGTAGCCAGGTGACGACCCGTCTGAGCACACGTGCAGTGTGTCACACGCTCGTAGGCAGGGGTGAACTGGTGAACACCCGCGTCTTGGAGCGCAGAACCCGCCACCAAGTTCGTAGAGAACGAGGGGAGGTGAAGACCCGACAGTGTGCCGGACGGGACAGCAGGACAAGGGAGGACAGTGGAAGAGGTCGCACGGACTGGACCCCCAGAGGGGTCTGCCAGAGAGACTGGAACCGGCCGACTGAGCGGCGTGAGGGTGGTGCTGTCGCGAAAGAAGGAGCGAGAAGCACCAGAGTCAAGTGTGAAGGTGTACAAGGCCTGAGCAGGCGCAGTACCAGAGAGAGCAGACTCACCAGCACCTGGAGCAGCAGTCTCACCCGTACCTAGAGCAGGAGACACACTAGCCCCTAGAGCAGCAGCCTCACCAGCACCTAGAGCAGCAGGCTCTATACCTGGGTCAGGCGGTACGCACAGGTAACAGGCACGGTCAGCACTAGTAGGCAATGCATACATGGCAGTGAGAATAGCATCATAGTCAAGAGCAAAGATATCTACCCTCTGCCCAAGCAGCTCCACCCTTCGGGGAGCTCAGCCTCGTCGCCAAACTCGGTACGCGAGGCGTCGCTCAGACAGGCGAAGCAGCGGGACTCTGTGTGACTGAGCGTCCCGCAAGCCTGACCAGTCCGAGCACCAGTGGAATGACGTACGGGCAGCGAACGGTACTCAGAAACCCTCTACTCTGAGCGTACCACTCGTGAAGCTGCTGGGACGTAAGTGTCTCGCGTGGACGCCGCTGCTGCTGCAGCTAGCCACTGCCAGACTCTCCCAACTGACCAGCTCCAGGGCGACAGCTACGACGGCTACCGCGACAACCCCAACTAGCGTACCACTCACTAAGCTGCTGGGGCGTGCGAGACTCGCGCGGACGTCGCTGGAGCTGCATCTGGCCACCGCCAGTAGCAGCAGTAGCAGTAGTAGCAGCAGTAGCAGCAGTAACAGCAGTAGCAGCGCGGCCACCCCTACAACCCCAACTAGCGTACCACTCACTAAGCTGCTGGGGCGTGAGGGACTCACGTGGACGTCGCTGGAGCTGCATCTGGCCACCGTCAGTAGCAGCAGTAGCAGTAGCAGTAGCAATAGCAGTAGTAGCAGCAGCAGCGCGTGCAGGGCAGGCGCGGCAGGCAGGCAGGCAGGCAGGCAGGCAGGCAGGCGGCAGCGCACGAACAAGGTAGGTGCTCACCAGTGGCGGGAAGGGCAGGCGCACGACGGCGGCGACGGCGGGGCCGCTACATCTGCGGCAGAGCAGGGCCGCGTCGGCGGTAGGGCAGGTCCGCGACAGCTGCTGCAGGGCGGGGCCGTGACAGCTGCAGGGCGGGGCCGCAACGGCGGCAAAAGGCTCCGCGGGAGCTGCTGCAGGGCGGGGCCGCAAACGCGGCAGGAGGCTCCGCGGCAACTGCTGCAGGGCAGGGCCACGACCGCGACAGGAGGCTCCGCGACAGCTGCTGCAGGGCAGGGCCGCGACGGCGGCAGAAGGCTCCGCGGCAGCTGCTGCTGGGCAGGGCCGTAACTGTGGCAGGGCGCTCCGTGGCAGCTGCTGCAGGAGCGACGGTGGCAGCTGCTGCAGGGCGGCGTCCAGGGGCAGCCGCGAGGAACAGGGGCAGCCGCGGCGCGCGAGGCTGCAACGCGCTGCGCGAGCTGCGGGCGCGGCGCGCGGGGCTGCAGCGCGACGCGCGGGCAGCGAACGCGGCGCGCGGGGCTGCAGCGCGACGCGCGGGCAGCGAACGTGACGCGCGGGGCTGCAGCGCGACGCGCGGGCAGCGGGCGCGACGCGCAGGGCTGCAGCGCGACGCTCGGGCAGCGGACGCGACACGCGGGGAGCGGGCGCGATGCGCGGGGCGGCGACCTAGCCTGACGGGCCTGCAGGGGCGGCTCGCGGGCCTGACGGGCCTGCAGAGGCGGCTAGCGGGCCTGACGGGCCTGCAGGGACGGCTGGCGGGCCTGACGGGCCTGCAGGGATGGCGCTCTGGCCTGACGGGCCTGTAGGGGCGGCGCTCTGGCCTGACGGGCCTGCAGGGGCGGCTCGCGGGCCTGACGTGCCTGCAGGGGCGGCGCACGGGCCTTACGAGGCTGTAGGGGCGGCGCGCGGGCCGTACGGGCCTGCAGGGGCGGCGCGCTGGCCTAGGGCAGCAGTAGGCAGCGCGAGGGCTGCAGGACGGCGCGCGCAGCGCAGCACGTGACAAGGCAAGTCAGGTGCACGATAATACGTGGGGTAGCGTGGTAACCGCAACGGTAGGTGGGCCCGAAAAAAAAACGGTCCTACGGACCTAGTGCTCTGAAACCATGTTAGAATCTAGCAGCAGGAAAATATTGAACTATGGAAGAGTTGGGTACAAATATGAAATCCTAAAGTGGGCTGTACCCCATATTGGCTACCCCACTACAGCCTAAACATGTATAGTAGATATAACGTTTGACAGATAATCGGAGAAGAAAAAGAAGGGTCGGAAGCGTGTGAGATAGGGGCGGATCGGTGTATAGCGCAACTGCGGTGCTTATCAACGGCGATAAGGTGATACGCCTTCACGTTGCTGTCATGCCGATAAGCTACGACCGCAAAAGAAGTCGGGGTCTCGCCGATGGCCATAGGATAGATACGCGTGGAGTTCTAAATGGGCCATAGGATGACTAGCAATAAATGTGAAAGTGATGGCCTATGCTTTAGTGGCTTTTTATTCTATCTCTTCGCACGATCTAATCGCTAGCCTACCAACGGTGCAAGCACAACCTGAATTACGAAAGAAGGCAAACTGTGCACACTTTGAGCGGTTGTTCCTTCAGGAGGGTGCAGTTGGGACTCTCGCCAACCATACTTGTTCTGCCCTACGAATCTGTTTTTTGGCGCTATGTTTTCTGGTAACCAGCCTGGCTCGGGAAGTCAACTGTGGGTTCGGAAGGCTAACTGTGCACAGTTTGCCTTCCTCTTTTTGTAATTCATGTCTTGGGCTTTAACCGAAGTTGATCGCGCTGTGCTAAAGTACACGTCATAATTTTGGAGGGAACGTCGAACCAACTAGGCAGGTTTGGAAGGGAATACCGCGTGACAAACTGAGTGGTTTAGTCCCAACTTTTTTTGAGATGAGACAGACGGTCTAGATAGAAAATTCGAGCTGACCCTACATGAACTGCTACACTACATTTCGAGATGTCGAAATGACGCGTGCGCGGAAACCGCGTAATGAAAGGTGGCGGGATCGCATTTCGGGTTTTACAAAAAAAATGCCCCGCGATATAAAAAATTACCAGTGCCGAAGCCCGTGCCACGGTATTCCTCACCGTGAGTTCGGGTTCGGCACAGTTTGCCTTCCTCTTTTTGTAATGTCTTGGGCTTTAACCGAAGTTGATCGCGCTGTGCTAAAGTACACGTCATAATTTTGGAGGGAACGTCGAACCAACTAGGCAGGTTTGGAAGGGAATACCGCGTGACAAACTGAGTGGTTTAGTCCCAACTTTTTTTGAGATGAGACAGACGGTCTAGATAGAAAATTCGAGCTGACCCTACATGAACTGCTACACTACATTTCGAGATGTCGAAATGACGCGTGCGCGGAAACCGCGTAATGAAAGGTGGCGGGATCGCATTTCGGGTTTTACAAAAAAAATGCCCCGCGATATAAAAAATTACCAGTGCCGAAGCCCGTGCCACGGTATTCCTCACCGTGAGTTCGGGTTCGGCCTACAGTTTCGACCTGAACCACTTCCGAGTCGCCTCACACCAATTGCGACATTCCCAACCCTCGCACATCCCAAGGTTCTCGCCTAGCATGTATTCGCCATGTAAATGCTCGCTTTCTTCATTGTTTCTGCATTCTGTTATTCATCCTTTTTATAAAGTCTTCCGTACACTCTGTTTAGTACAAATAATAACAAACAGAACAGCTCTTCTCCTTGTCTCTCCCGAAATTCTCGGGCATTGATAGCAGGTTACCCTGACAAATACACTCCTCTCAAAGCAGCCTGCCTGCATGCCAGCAAGCTCTCATCTCAACCCTACGCAACATGGACGCGCGTGCGTCTCGTTCACCTGCTCCCCGCTGGCCGTTCTTTCGTCGCCTGCGCGCGCTGCTGCTCGTCGTTGCGCGCCTCTCCTTTCACCTCCCCGTCGCCACCATCAACGCGATCCGCGACCGCAACTATCGTCCCCGCACAGCCATCCAGGCGGCTTCCCCCGCCGCCGCGGGCATGCGCGTAAGCCGCAGCGAGCCGTCGCTTTTAGCCCTCGCTGGCGACGACGCGCCGCCAGAAGCGGCGCCGCGACGCGCGGCGGGCAGCGGAGAACTCGCAGCGACGGTCTCGCCGCCTTTAGCGCGTGAAACTGCCGTCAACGCTGATGGCGGTTCCAGCGGCGGCGACGGCGGCGACGGCGAGCGAAAGAAGACGAGCGTCGACGAGGACGCGAGTGGAGCGAGATGTCGCACGACGCGACGACTGACGGTGTCGCAGGTAGGACGAAGGGCGCGTGGCGGAAAAGGGTCGCGTGGCGGGGAGGGGCGCAAGGCGGGTGAGATTGAGCGCGGGGGAAGAAGCACGCAGCGCATTGCTCGAAAGGGGGGAATAAAGGGGACACTCTAGCTGCTCCTTGCATCTCACAACTCGCCGTTACGTGCTGTGCGGTCCTGCGCTGTGCTGTGCGGTGCTGTGAGCAGGATGCGGAGGGACGCAAGACGGTGAACGAGTACGTGAGAGAGCGTGTGATTGGCCGAGGCTCCTACGCTAAAGTGGTCAGTGCTCTCTCACAGACACCATCCCTGCACACATGCTCCCTCCCCCTCATGCTCCCCCGGTAGCTCCCTTCTCGCCTCCTTGCATTCGCCCCTCGTCTATTGTTGCTCATCCCTTACTCTTTCCCTCTCTCCCTCCTTCCCTTCCCCCCCTTCTCTCCCCCACACCCCATCCCCCCGCCGCGCATGCCTGTCATTGCCCGAAGGTTCTGTACCGCCATGCGCCAACAGGCCTCATGTGCGCGCTCAAGGTGCGTGGGGGGGGAAAGGAGGGGCGGAAGTAGGGAGGGGAGGAATGGTGGGGGAAGAGGGGGAATTAGTGCAACGCAGAGGGAAGGGGGGTAACGTGGTGGTGGTTTGGAGTGAGTGGGGAATATGTGGAGATGTTTGTATCACACTCAGAAAGAAATCATCTCTTAACTTCAAGACGCCTTAAAGCCCCCTTGTCCGATGCGTGCGTGCCCATGCTATCATCACATCACCTTCCAAACTGCACTGGACAGCATTGCACAGCGCTGCAGTGCAGTGCTGTGCGGTGCTGTGCGGTGCGGTGCTGTGCGGTGCACTGCAAGCACCTGCAGCGCACCGCATTGCACTGCATCACACCTCCTGTTTCTCGTCCATGCACACGTTTTCTCCGCCCGTTCTATTTTCCCGGGTGCGTGCGTGCGTGCGGTGCAGGTGTGCTGCAAGTCCCGCCTTGCGAGGGTGCGGGTGGCGCCAGGCGAAACTGCCCTCATGGACGTGCAGCGCGAGGTGGGGCGCGGTGAGGTGGGGTGGGGTGGGGGGAGGTGGGTTGGGGGAGAGGTGGGCTGGGAGAGGTGGGGTGGGGAGAGGTGGGGTGGGGAGAGGTGGGGTGGGGAGAGGTGGGGAGGGAGACAGTGGGGTGGGGAAAGATTGGGGGCCCTCGCTGCCGTCACTGCATGCCCTTGTCACTCCCACTTCCTTTTTGGTGCACGGAACCAATAGGTGTGTGCATCAGCAAGCCGCCCCGGCCTGTCCTGGCCCTGCTTTGCCTGCACTCTGCCGGCACTCTTCACAAGGCCCTGTACCCTCAATGTGCCCTGTGACCTGTACCCTGTGCCCTGTACCCTCAATGTGCCCTGTGCCCTGTACCCTGTGCCCTGTACCCTCAATGTGCCCTGTGCCCTGTGCCCTGTACCCTGTGCCCTGTGCCCTGTGCCCTGTGCCCTGTGTCCGGTCTTCCATCTCCTGGTCCCCACACCCCTGTGCCCTATGCCCCACGTCCTACCGTGCCCGTCCGATCCGTGTATAGCCGCACTTGCCCCACGTCCATGCGTGTTCTCACTTTGCCCGGTGGTGCCCCATTGCCCGTCCTCTCCGCACCTTTTCCCCTGCCCTGTCCCCACGTCCTGCCGTGAACCTCTAGATCCGTGTGCTGCAGCGGCTGCAGCACCCGCACGTGGTGCACCTCAGGGAAGTGATTGACGACCCGTCCTCCGATAAACTCTACCTTGGTACGCCTGCTCACTCACACACCTCACTGCTCACCCTCGAGGTTGCTTTTTGAGTCGACTCGAAAGCGGCTGCAGCACCCGCACGTGGTGCACCTCAGGGAGGTCATTGACGACCCGTCCTCCGATAAACTCTACCTCGGTACGTCCCGTGACTCCCGCCCCGTCAGCATCCGCCCGTCGACCCTTCCTCCGATAAACTCTACCTCGGTGCGTCCCGTGACTCCCTCCCGTCCCGTCCCGCTACCTGCTCATGGCTCCCTCCCTGCTCGCCGTCTCCCTCTACCACGCAGCAGGGCTCTCTGCCTCCCAGCCCTCCCCTACCTCTACCACCCACATCCCTCCTCCCACTTCCCTGACGACGGTCTTCTGCTGACATGTTTGCTGCTCGCTGACGCTCAGAACTTTGACCCAGCTTCCCTGACCGTTCAGAATGGTCAGAAGACCGGTTTGAGTACTTTCACCCAGCTTCACCCATGGGATGGGACGGCAGACCCATCTTCCCTGACCTGACGATGCACCACCAGCGGCGTCTTTAGGCGTCTCTCTAACTATGGCTCACCACCCGCACCCACCCTCCCCTCCTCCCCCCCCCCCCCCCCTCCCCCCCCCCCCCCCCCCTTCCCCAAACTAGTGGTTGAGTATGTGGATTGCAAGCCCATATTCCCTGCCTGACGATGCACCACCTGCGGGGTTTTTGAGACGCCCCAGAATTCGCCCATCCTCACCCATCCTCACCCACCCTCACCCACCCTCACCCAACCCCCCGCCCCACCAGTGTTAAGTACCTGGATGGGGGCCCGTCTTCCCAGAGGGATGCACCACTTGCTGGGTGTTGAGTCGCCCCAGGGTTTCGCCCACCCTCACCCAACCCCACCGCTCTTCCCCTCCCCTCCCACCAGTGTGTGAGCACCTAAAAGCAGGGCCCGTCTTCCCAGAGGATGCACCACTCGCCTCACTCCCACCCACCCATCCCCACCGCTCTTCCTCTTCCCCCCCCACCAGTGTTTGCGTACCTGGACGGCAGGCAGGCCCGTTTTCCCAGAGGGATGCACCAGTCGCTGGGTGTTGAGTCGCCCCAGGGTCTCTCCCCTTCCCCTTCCCCTTCCCCTTCCCCTTCCCCTTCCCCTTCCCCTCGCACCAGTGTTTGAGTACCTGGATGGCGGGCCTGTCTTCCCAGAGGATGCACCACCAGTGGGTGGTTTGAGTCGCCCCAGGGTCTCTTCCCCTTCCCCCCCCCCACTTCGACCTCTCTTCCCCTTCCCCCCCCCCACTTCGACCTCTCTTCCCCTTCCCCCCCCCCACTTCGACCTCTCTTCCCCTTCCCCCCCCCCACTTCGACCTCTCTTCCCCTTCCCCCCCCCCACTTCGACCTCTCTTCCCCTTCCCCCCCCCCACTTCGACCTCTCTTCCCCTTCCCCCCCCCCACTTCGACCTCTCTTCCCCTTCCCCCCCCCCACTTCGACCTCTCTTCCCCTTCCCCCCCCCCACTTCGACCTCTCTTCCCCTTTCCCCCCCCCCGCCCCTCGCACCAGTGTTTGAGTACCTGGATGGCGGGCCTGTCGTCCCAGAGGACGAACCGCCGGTGGGGGGTGTGGGCGAGGAGAGGGCGCGGAGGGTGTTTCGGGACGTCAGTGCTGCTCTGCTCTACGTGCATGGCCAGGTGGGCGGGGGTTGCTTGCAGGATGGAGTGGGTTGAGAGGTTGTTTGGTTGCAAAGCGAGAGGAGGAGGAGTTTGTGGTGATTAAGAGGGGGGCGAGGCGAGGAGAGGGCGAGGAGGGTGTTTCGCGATGCCAGTCAGTGCTGCACTGGTCTACTCAAAAGGTTGGTGCACAGCCAGGTGGGCGTGGGTTGCAAGATTGGTGCATGATTGCAGGGCGAGAGGAGGAGCTGGTGGTGGTGGAGTAAGAGGGGGCGGTAGCTTTTGCGTCGACTCAAAAGTCAGAGGGCGCGGAGGAGGGTGTTTCGCGATGTCAGTTCCGCTCTGCTCTACGTGCATGTGTGCACGCGTGCGTGCGTGCGTGCGTGCGTGCATGCCTGTCTTCTTGCCTGTCTGCACCGCGCACGGCGCTGCCAAGCTCGCCGACTTTGGAGTCTGCCAGGAGGTCACGGTGAGTCAATGCCAATGCACGTCTTCTACACCCTCCGCCCTTCCTCGAATGCTCCTCACAGTGCGCTTGCATGCTCTGCCTGCATGCTCCGTTGTCGTGCCGCCTCTGCTGCAATGCTGCCTCTGCTGCAATGCTGCCTCTGCTGCAATGCTGCCTCTGCTGCAATGCTGCCTCTGCTGCAATGCTGCCTCTGCTGCAATGCTGCCTCTGCTGCAATGCTGCCTCTGCTGCAATGCTGCCTCTGCTGCAATGCTGCCTCTGCTGCAATGCTGCCTCTGCTGCAATGCTGCCTCTGCTGCAATGCTGCCTCTGCTGCAATGCTGCCTCTGCTGCAATGCTGCCTCTGCTGCAATGCTGCCTCTGCTGCAATGCTGCCTCTGCTGCAATGCTGCCTCTGCTGCAATGCTGCCTCTGCTGCAATGCTGCCTCTGCTGCAATGCTGCCTCTGCTGCAATGCTGCCTCTGCTGCAATGCTGCCTCTGCTGCAATGCTGCCTCTGCTGCAATGCTGCCTCTGCTGCAATGCTGCCTCTGCTGCAATGCTGCCTCTGCTGCAATGCTGCCTCTGCTGCAATGCTGCCTCTGCTGCAATGCTGCCTCTGCTGCAATGCTGCCTCTGCTGCAATGCTGCCTCTGCTGCAATGCTGCCTCTGCTGCAATGCTGCCTCTGCTGCAATGCTGCCTCTGCTGCAATGCTGCCTCTGCTGCAATGCTGCCTCTGCTGCAATGCTTGCCCTCTGCTGCAATGCTGCCTCTGCTGCAATGCTGCCTCTGCTGCAATGCTGCCTCTGCTGCAATGCTGCCTCTGCTGCAATGCTGCCTCTGCTGCAATGCTGCCTCTGCTGCAATGCTGCCTCTGCTGCAATGCTGCCTCTGCTGCAATGCTGCCTCTGCTGCAATGCTGCCTCTGCTGCAATGCTGCCTCTGCTGCAATGCTGCCTCTGCTGCAATGCTGCCTCTGCTGCAATGCTGCCTCTGCTGCAATGCTGCCTCTGCTGCAATGCTGCCTCTGCTGCAATGCTGCCTCTGCTGCAATGCTGCCTCTGCTGCAATGCTGCCTCTGCTGCAATGCTGCCTCTGCTGCAATGCTGCCTCTGCTGCAATGCTGCCTCTGCTGCAATGCTGCCTCTGCTGCAATGCTGCCTCTGCTGCAATGCTGCCTCTGCTGCAATGCTGCCTCTGCTGCAATGCTGCCTCTGCTGCAATGCTGCCTCTGCTGCAATGCTGCCTCTGCTGCAATGCTGCCTCTGCTGCAATGCTGCCTCTGCTGCAATGCTGCCTCTGCTGCAATGCTGCCTCTGCTGCAATGCTGCCTCTGCTGCAATGCTGCCTCTGCTGCAATGCTGCCTCTGCTGCAATGCTGCCTCTGCTGCAATGCTGCCTCTGCTGCAATGCTGCCTCTGCTGCAATGCTGCCTCTGCTGCAATGCTGCCTCTGCTGCAATGCTGCCTCTGCTGCAATGCTGCCTCTGCTGCAATGCTGCCTCTGCTGCAATGCTGCCTCTGCTGCAATGCTGCCTCTGCTGCAATGCTGCCTCTGCTGCAATGCTGCCTCTGCTGCAATGCTGCCTCTGCTGCAATGCTGCCTCTGCTGCAATGCTGCCTCTGCTGCAATGCTGCCTCTGCTGCAATGCTGCCTCTGCTGCAATGCTGCCTCTGCTGCAATGCTGCCTCTGCTGCAATGCTGCCTCTGCTGCAATGCTGCCTCTGCTGCAATGCTGCCTCTGCTGCAATGCTGCCTCTGCTGCAATGCTGCCTCTGCTGCAATGCTGCCTCTGCTGCAATGCTGCCTCTGCTGCAATGCTGCCTCTGCTGCAATGCTGCCTCTGCTGCAATGCTGCCTCTGCTGCAATGCTGCCTCTGCTGCAATGCTGCCTCTGCTGCAATGCTGCCTCTGCTGCAATGCTGCCTCTGCTGCAATGCTGCCTCTGCTGCAATGCTGCCTCTGCTGCAATGCTGCCTCTGCTGCAATGCTGCCTCTGCTGCAATGCTGCCTCTGCTGCAATGCTGCCTCTGCTGCAATGCTGCCTCTGCTGCAATGCTGCCTCTGCTGCAATGCTGCCTCTGCTGCAATGCTGCCTCTGCTGCAATGCTGCCTCTGCTGCAATGCTGCCTCTGCTGCAATGCTGCCTCTGCTGCAATGCTGCCTCTGCTGCAATGCTGCCTCTGCTGCAATGCTGCCTCTGCTGCAATGCTGCCTCTGCTGCAATGCTGCCTCTGCTGCAATGCTGCCTCTGCTGCAATGCTGCCTCTGCTGCAATGCTGCCTCTGCTGCAATGCTGCCTCTGCTGCAATGCTGCCTCTGCTGCAATGCTGCCTCTGCTGCAATGCTGCCTCTGCTGCAATGCTGCCTCTGCTGCAATGCTGCCTCTGCTGCAATGCTGCCTCTGCTGCAATGCTGCCTCTGCTGCAATGCTGCCTCTGCTGCAATGCTGCCTCTGCTGCAATGCTGCCTCTGCTGCAATGCTGCCTCTGCTGCAATGCTGCCTCTGCTGCAATGCTGCCTCTGCTGCAATGCTGCCTCTGCTGCAATGCTGCCTCTGCTGCAATGCTGCCTCTGCTGCAATGCTGCCTCTGCTGCAATGCTGCCTCTGCTGCAATGCTGCCTCTGCTGCAATGCTGCCTCTGCTGCAATGCTGCCTCTGCTGCAATGCTGCCTCTGCTGCAATGCTGCCTCTGCTGCAATGCTGCCTCTGCTGCAATGCTGCCTCTGCTGCAATGCTGCCTCTGCTGCAATGCTGCCTCTGCTGCAATGCTGCCTCTGCTGCAATGCTGCCTCTGCTGCAATGCTGCCTCTGCTGCAATGCTGCCTCTGCTGCAATGCTGCCTCTGCTGCAATGCTGCCTCTGCTGCAATGCTGCCTCTGCTGCAATGCTGCCTCTGCTGCAATGCTGCCTCTGCTGCAATGCTGCCTCTGCTGCAATGCTGCCTCTGCTGCAATGCTGCCTCTGCTGCAATGCTGCCTCTGCTGCAATGCTGCCTCTGCTGCAATGCTGCCTCTGCTGCAATGCTGCCTCTGCTGCAATGCTGCCTCTGCTGCAATGCTGCCTCTGCTGCAATGCTGCCTCTGCTGCAATGCTGCCTCTGCTGCAATGCTGCCTCTGCTGCAATGCTGCCTCTGCTGCAATGCTGCCTCTGCTGCAATGCTGCCTCTGCTGCAATGCTGCCTCTGCTGCAATGCTGCCTCTGCTGCAATGCTGCCTCTGCTGCAATGCTGCCTCTGCTGCAATGCTGCCTCTGCTGCAATGCTGCCTCTGCTGCAATGCTGCCTCTGCTGCAATGCTGCCTCTGCTGCAATGCTGCCTCTGCTGCAATGCTGCCTCTGCTGCAATGCTGCCTCTGCTGCAATGCTGCCTCTGCTGCAATGCTGCCTCTGCTGCAATGCTGCCTCTGCTGCAATGCTGCCTCTGCTGCAATGCTGCCTCTGCTGCAATGCTGCCTCTGCTGCAATGCTGCCTCTGCTGCAATGCTGCCTCTGCTGCAATGCTGCCTCTGCTGCAATGCTGCCTCTGCTGCAATGCTGCCTCTGCTGCAATGCTGCCTCTGCTGCAATGCTGCCTCTGCTGCAATGCTGCCTCTGCTGCAATGCTGCCTCTGCTGCAATGCTGCCTCTGCTGCAATGCTGCCTCTGCTGCAATGCTGCCTCTGCTGCAATGCTGCCTCTGCTGCAATGCTGCCTCTGCTGCAATGCTGCCTCTGCTGCAATGCTGCCTCTGCTGCAATGCTGCCTCTGCTGCAATGCTGCCTCTGCTGCAATGCTGCCTCTGCTGCAATGCTGCCTCTGCTGCAATGCTGCCTCTGCTGCAATGCTGCCTCTGCTGCAATGCTGCCTCTGCTGCAATGCTGCCTCTGCTGCAATGCTGCCTCTGCTGCAATGCTGCCTCTGCTGCAATGCTGCCTCTGCTGCAATGCTGCCTCTGCTGCAATGCTGCCTCTGCTGCAATGCTGCCTCTGCTGCAATGCTGCCTCTGCTGCAATGCTGCCTCTGCTGCAATGCTGCCTCTGCTGCAATGCTGCCTCTGCTGCAATGCTGCCTCTGCTGCAATGCTGCCTCTGCTGCAATGCTGCCTCTGCTGCAATGCTGCCTCTGCTGCAATGCTGCCTCTGCTGCAATGCTGCCTCTGCTGCAATGCTGCCTCTGCTGCAATGCTGCCTCTGCTGCAATGCTGCCTCTGCTGCAATGCTGCCTCTGCTGCAATGCTGCCTCTGCTGCAATGCTGCCTCTGCTGACCAACCGGCACCTCGTTTGTCTCCCTCGGCCTCTCCAGCCAGCTTGCCGCCTATTCGGATATTCCCCCCCACCCTTCCCCCCCTCTCCCCACCTTGAACCCCTGTCTCCCTTCCCTTCCTCTGCTCTTCTGTCCTATGCCTGCCTGCGGTTGTGCTGCTGCTCCTTCTCACCCCTGTCTCACCCTATCTGCCCCTCCCGCCCCCTCTTTACCCCATCCCCAGTCCCCCGATGACCTGCAGCGCAGGAGTCCTGGCACCCCTGCCTTTACTGCGCCTGAGTGCTGCACTGGTGCGCAGGGGGGGTTTGGGGCAGTTGGGCTGAGTGGGACGGCGGAAGGGGGGCAGGGGGGAAAGGTGGGGGGGATGCGTGGGATGGATGGGGTTGTGTTGGGAGAGGAAGGGAGTTGTGGGGTGGGTGGGGCGGTGAGGAAGGGAGCTGTGGGGTGGGTGGGGCGGTGAGGAAGGGAGTTGTGGGGTGGGTGGGGCGGTGAGGAAGGGAGTTGTGGGGTGGGCTGTGAGGCAGCTTTTGTTAAGGCATGAGCTGGCCGAGCCGGCAGGGTAGTTGTCGCACTGAAAGGGGACGGGGGAGAGAGGAGAAGAGAGGAAGAGAGAGGAAGTGAGAGGGAGAGCGAGTGATGGTGAGGAAGCGAGCATTTCCTGATGCTCCTGCATCTCTGCACCCACTGGTGCTTCGTATCCTGCTGGATATTGCCTCGTGGCTCCCCCCCCCCCCCCCCCCCCATCCCTGTGAGTTTTGAGTCGACTCAAAACTCACTGGTGCTTCGTATCGTGCTGGATATTGCCTCATGGCATGCCCCCACCCCCCCCCCCCCATCCCTCCCCCTGCCTTTCCTGCCACGGCTATGGGTGTGCAGGAGAGCCATTCAATGGCATGGCAGCGGACACATGGGCGCTGGGGTGTGCACGTCTATGCCATGGTGTGCTCTCGAGAATTCTCAAAAGTTGTCCTGCTGCCTCCCCTGCCCCCCCTGCCCCCACTGCCCCCTTGCTCCCCCCTCGGCCCTCACCGCGTGCAGGAGAGCCGTTCAAGGGCACGGCAGCGGACACATGGGAACTGGGGTGCACGCTTTACACCATGGTGTGCTCTTCTTGAGAATTGCCATAAGTGCTCTCCCTTCCCCCACTGCCCTCACCGACCCCATTACGTGCAGGGGAGCCGTTCAAGGGCATGGCAGCGGACACATGGGCACTGGGGTGCACGCTCTATGCCATAGTGTGCGGCCGCCATCCCTTCCTGGGGCCCTCACTCATGGATACCTATGACAAGGTATGCTCTGCTGGGCTGTGCTGGGCTGTGCTGTGCTGTACTGGGCTGGGCTGTGCTGGGCTGTACTGGGCTGGGCTGTGCTGGGCTGTGCTGTGCTGTGGTGCTGTGCTGTGCTGTGGTGTGCTGTGCTGTGCTGTGCGGTGTGGTGCTGTGTGAAATGAGAGAGGGTTATTGAGGCGCCGTCTCATCTCATGTTGGGCTGCACTCCCTTTGCCATGGTGTGCGGTGTGAGTGCGTGTGCATCCATCCTCCCTGCGTTTTACTTCGTTCTTCTCATGCTCCCGCTTTCTTATTGCCGCCATCCATCTGTTAGTGTTAGCTCTCAATCTCACATTTTGTACTTGTACTTTTTTTATCCTAGCTTAGTGTAGTTGCACTTTGTGTTTGGTTGGTTGGGTGTACACCCACATCCCAACCAAACCCAAATGTGATCACCAAGCAATCTCCAACCCACCAATTGGAGATTGCCTTGGGATTACCCCCAATCCCTAGGGATTGCCCCCGTTTTCCTTCCCATCCATACCTTGCTCATTTCGGATGTACTTAAGGGGCTTCAAGCTCATTACGAATGTATCAATTCTAGGCTAAGTTGTAACACCATCCTCTTCTGTTTGTCCTCCTCTGTTGTTGCAGATCCAATCTGAGCCGTTGATTCTCCCACCAGACATGTCGCCCTCGTTGGCAGATCTCCTCACCAGGCTTCTGCACAAAGGCATGCCTACCTACCATGCCTCCACACATCACAGCAACACCATCACCATGCGTTACCCACTATCTACGCTCCGTTTCTAAAAAAAGTAAGGTTATGACTGCCCTCACCGCACCTCCGTGCCTTGCTAGTGATCCCATGCATGCCCTGTACCCCTGCCACTCTCCCTCCCTGCCACCTATATCCCACTCCCACCAGCCACAAAATCTCATCCCCACCCCACACCCTCCCCAACCCAACCCCCCTTTTACCCCCTCGTTTGTACCATCCATGCAGACCCCATTCAGCGCATCCCTCTTGCCCAAGCTGCCACTCATCCCTGGGTCCTGCTCCAATCTGCCCTGCCCTCCTCTCCCCTCTCCTCTGCACCATGAGCCCCTCCGGCCTCCCCCATCCCTTCCTTCCTCCTGGTGGCTCTGCACCACCCGGCACCACGCTGCACCGCACTACACCGTGCTGTAACGTGCTGCACTCCATGCTGTGCTGCAGCCGGCTCTGCGTCACCCACCGCACGGGTTGCACCAAACACCTGCGGTCCTGCACCACTTCCTGTGCCTGCCTGCTCCCAGCCTACAACCACACTAGACTACTGGGCCCTGCTTCTGCGGGGTGGTCACATCTGCCCAGACCTGAAACCCATCATGCCTGCCGCCGCAAGGTATGGCTATTGAGAAGGCTGAATGGCGATTCAAACTCCGGGCGCTGCACAGGGGAACCTATCTTCTGAGGCGCCTCAAGAGTTGCACAGGGGGGGACCTATCACACGCCTTCCACAAGGTGTGAGCCAGAGGTTGTGTGGCTGGCAAGGTGTGGGGCGGAGGTTGTATGGATGGAGAGGTGTGCGGTGCAGGCAGGCTTGGGGCGTACAAGGCACGGTGATGTGCGGTGCAGTGAGGGCAGAGTGCTGCAATCTGTGACTGCTCCATGTGCACTGGTTGCCGCACCCATTGTTGCACTCTTGCCCTTGCCTTGGCTGCTGCTGTCGAGATGACACAGCATGGCCAGGCCGCATGCAGGTGTGGATCACGTTACGTCCCGAGCAGTGCAGCAGCTTCTGAAGGTCACACACACACACACACGGGGCAGTGTGCAGTGTACCGGCGGTGCATTGGTTGCCCATGCTGCAGAGCATGAAATGGTGTCGCGTAGAGCAAAGTACACTCTCCAGGCAGGCGTGTGTTGGCAGTGCGTGGCAGCAGAGGAGTTTTGTCTTGCGTAGCTAGCAGCTGAGCGGGAACACAGATGCCTGTAAGAGAGGCAACAGGGTGGTGCGGAGGGGTGCACACATACGAGCAGTGCCAGGCCCATGGTGGAGTGACTGTGCTGGTGGCACCATTTTCACTGGCAACGAGATGCAGAGTAGTTGACAGCAGTCAAGTGTGATGACTCCAGGCATCCGTGTGGTCAATCTATCAAATCTATTCTAATGATGTTTTTTCTATGGAGAAAGGGGTGGGTGGGATGGGGTAACAAGAAGATTGGGTAGGGTGTACTGAAAATAGAAGTCAGCAAGAGTTGCTTGACTCTATAGTGCACCTATTATGTCTATTGTGATGTGGTGTGTAGGTGCTACTAATCGGAGGATGATAATGCAGGGATATGCAATTAGCATCGTAAAAAGCATCTGACTTAATAGGGTACCAGTAACACACTTCGGAAATCGTGGTGGTGTTCGTTTTTCACGATGGCATTCACGAATTGAGACGAAGAATATAACCCTATGTAAGGAAAATCTCTTTTTCCTTACTTCGCGTCCCTGCTCAACGCGTACATCACTGTAGCACCACAGTCAGCACCGTTACCACTCGCAATCCTCGCATCGACAATCCGCCCGCCACCTTCGCACGTCGCACCCCGACCTCACGGCTCGGCGGGTAGCCCGCGCTCCGGGCCTCCGCTTCGACACTTTTCCCAACCTCAGTCCCAGGCCCGTCGCGCGACAACCACAGTGCATTACCGTTACCACTGTAGTCTCGCTATATATTCTTCGCTCATGCCTTCGCTCATTGTACTCTTTGCTTCGATAGTGCAATTCTCGTTCGTTCACTCAATTGCACTCGTAACACCCTACAACAACAGACCAGACGACGGACGTGTCCGAACGAAGCGGATTGGTGATGTTCTTCGACTTGCCAGCCGCAACGCGTACCCCCCTTGCATTATTGCCCCGCCACTAGCAAGGAGGACAAGATCACCTCCACCCCAGTGAAGTGATGGAGCCCGAGAGTCCAGTCCCAGACCCTGGACTTGCATGGAGCCTATATGGTCACGGGTAGTTTGACCAGCCATTATTGCATTCTCGCCACACCCCCCCGTCGTTCGCATTGTCCGCCGATCGCCACGTCGCCGCGCAATCCTCGCGGAATCGGCGGTAGCCAGCAGGAGCAGGAACCATGTTCACGTCGAGCGCTCCGCTCTCTTCGCGTTGGGCCCTTCCATTCCAGTTTTCCGTAAACCAGTCGGACCCTCTCATGGCTCGCCCACTCTCACCCACTCGCCCACTCTCACCCTCTCGCACACACATTCTCGCCTGGAATTCTCCTCCAAGACACCCTCACACCGTCTCGAGCACCTATCGTAATCCTCCATCTCTCCCAGCTTGCAATCGGCGCGCTACTCTACTATATTTGGCGCGCTGTCACTGTACCAGCCGCCGCCGCCACCCCCGCTGCCGCTCCCGTGCGTGGCCACAGCAGCACTCGCCGCGGGTGCACTCAACGGCCTCACTGAGGCGACAGCCATTCCCCGCCGCCTGCGGCATTGAGAGCCATCACAGCCCCGATTACTCTCGCCTTCTCCCCTCGCTCTCGCTCTCGCTCTCGCCCTCGCGTTCGTGATCGCACTCGCGCGTTCACCCTCTCGCGCGTGCGTCGAGTTTTTCCGCTCCCCGGCGCTCCCCTTCGCCTCCGCCCTTGCGCGCGTGTCGCCCACTAGCCCACTATGGCGGTCGTTGGCGCCAGATTCAAGAGATTCGTCCTCTTCCTGAGTAAGCCTCAACATCTGAATGAATGTACCCGTTATAGCACGCACCGCCGTTTTCTCCTGTCCACAGCTTGCCGAGATTCTAAAAGCGGCCTCTTTTTCCTCGCTGTCGTGTTCTTGTTCCTCTTCTTCTGTTTCCGCACGTTCACGTGTGCCGTGATCCATCCCGATATGAATGTACGTTCACCCGGTCGATACCTCCACTCCACTCCACGCTCGCGTTTCGCTTTTGAGTCGACTCAGAAGTCACCTCGATATGAACGTACCTCCACATCCAATCCACGCTCGCGTTTCTCCACCACGTATGACTCTGCGTCTCCCCCTCCCTGCGACTGACTACCCCTTCCCTTCCCCATCATCCCCCTTCCCCCCCTCATCAAACTCCCAACCCCGCCCTCCCCCACACCCCTCTTCTCCCCCCAATTTCACCCTCTCTTCGCGCCCTCCCTCCTTTCCTATTCCTTCCCCCCCCCTCTTCCCCCCCTCTTTTCCTTCTTTCCCCCATGGCAGCCGTGCTGGCGGTACCGCTAGTCGCCACGCTATGTGGAGCTGAAGCTGAAGCACACACAGCCACCACCACCACCACCACCACCACCACCACCGCCGCCGCCGCAGGTGTGTTGGCCGGCGGTTCCACACGTTGCACGTGTGCTGTGCTGCTCGCTACTCTACTCCCTTCGTTGCTTGCTCCCACAGCTTCTCTGCCTAACGATTCCACAGCCTTGCTTGCTCCGCCCGCCCTCGTTACTGCCGCCAGGAGTGCAACACGTGCCGCACATGCGTGCGCGCATGGCCTTGAGTGGGTTCTTTGTGTCTTGTCCCCGATAACCCCATCATCCCCATTCCCCGCCCACTCCCGCACACCCATGCATTGCATGGCCACACAGTGCAGTGCAGGGTCGTACCACTCCCTCTTGAGCCGACTCAAGAGTCCCCCCTCCCCGTACCCTCCCTCTCCTCTTCCCGCTCCCCCTCCCCCTCCTCTTCCCCCTACCCCTCCCCCTCCCCCTCCTCCTCTTCCTCCCCCTCCCCTACCCCTCCCCCCCCCCCCCTCCCCCTCCCCCTCCACCTCCCCCTCCCCCTCCCCCTCCCCCTCCCCCTCCCCCCCACCCCACCCCGCCCCTTGCATGGCTGCCTGGCGTGGCCATGCTGTGCAGGGTCGTACCACTCCCGTATGGCCGATGTTTCCAAGACTCGAAACTCCCAATACTCAATGCCCCCCTCCCCTTCCGCCTCCCACTCCCGCTCCCCTTCCTCCTCCCCCGCCCCCACCCCTGCATGGCCACGCGGTGCAGGGTCATATCATTCCCTCATGGGCGATCCTTTGAGCCGACTTCCTAACGCTCGTTGACCCCCCCCCCTGCATTGCATGGCCACGCTGTGCAGGGTCATACCATTCCCTCATGGGCGATCCAGAGTCGCGTACGCTCGCCTCGCTCTCCCTCGAAATACTGTACGCTGTACTGTATCCACTCAGCATGCCAAGGCTGTTCACTGGATGTTCTGAAAAGATCCTCTCTCCCTCCAATCCTACCAGCTTTTCTACCTCGGCCCTTCTTCTCCCACGACCCTCCTCCCCTCCTCCTTTTTTTCCCTCCCTCCCTCTTCTCCCCCCTCCCTCTTCTCCCCCCTCCCTCTTTCTCCCCCCTGACTCTTCTTTCCCCTCCCTCTTCTCCCCCCTCCCTCTTCTCCCCCCTCCCTCGTCTCCTCCCTCCCTCCCTCTCTCCATCCCCGCCTCCCTTCCCTCCCCATCTTCCCCCCTCCCCCTTTCCCTCCCTCCCTCTCTCCCCCTCTCTCTCCGTGTCAAATCCCCACTCCCTCTCCCGCACTCTCCATCCCCCAACTCCCCCTCCCAACACTCTCTCTTCTGCGCATGCAGACTCAGCTCCAGGGCAACAGGACATGCCATTGTGCCTTTTCTTTTCCGCTATCCTCTGAGATCTCACCGTCCCCGTCAACCTCCCTTTCACCCTCCCTGTAACCGTCTCTCACCCTCCCAACCACAACAGGCGCCTACGGGG